GCTGTCAGCAAGACTCACTGTGAAACTTCTCTTGCACCATGTGAGCGACACAGTTGAATATGTTCATAAGCGTGTAAGTCTAATTCCGACAACCCATGTTGCGCGCAAGTGACAGTCTCAATAGAGGTCGTCTAGGCTTCGATGTCCCAGTTACGTGCAACAGACAGGAACTGTTCTTTGCAGGCCTCCGCAAAAGTGACGCTCCTCAGTTTTTGAGATAGTCAAAGCAAAAGAGTTCAGTTGCAGACGTGTCAGCGGATCCACGGGCAGGTACTTCGATGTAATTGTTGATAGTTTCTGATGTGCAAAGGTCTCCTCTCAGGACGATAGGAGGTTACTTGAGCCAAAGACTGCTTCGCTCCAATCGAATTCGGGAAAACAGAGCTCATGTATTTCCTCCATAAGCTTCCCTCTGGGCGGGGACCCACACGCTGCTTTCACTCTCTTTTTTCCTCCCCGGGGGGGGGGGGGGGGGGGAGTCGCGGCCGACGCAGATCTTAACGAGGCAGGCGGCTCGTTAGCCGCTAATTGAGCGGTCAGCGCCAAGACGGGAGTTCGCCATCTGTTTGTCGCAGAGGAACATCTTGTCGCTCCGTTGTGATATTAATAGCTCGAGCGCACAGACGGAAAGAAGAAACCGAGAAGGAGACCAGGAGGAGGTGACGAACAAACTGGGAGGGGGACACTAAAAGGCCTGCAGAGGAGAATTGTGCCAGGTCCAGTTAACCCCGACAGGAAGCCGCATGTCTGAGAGTCTAAATAAAATACTGAAAATAACGTGCAAGTCCTCCAATGATCTTTGATGCTCAGACGACAAGTCTGATCTATAACTAACCTAAATCAACCATATCTTTTTAAACTTTACTGCCAATTATTAGTAATCAATAGGATCACAATAGACCGGATCTGAATCCTCGCTGAGTAAACTACGACGATGGCTCCGGTGTCACATGACCCGGCTCCCTCCTCCCTGCCTCATAGAACGTGTTACGTCCAGTAACTGACACCCCTCACAGGTGGAAGCTGTAAAGGTGCACGTGGACACAGCTCCCGTGCTCAGTGTTCATCAACCAGGTCCATCGGATTCCAGCACATTTCTGTATTAATTTAGTTTTAGCGGCTGTTGTGTAAATGTCAAGAATAGACTTGAAATGTCTCAGGTATGAACCGTGACCTCTTCTGACAACATATTTAGTGTCGAAGGAACATTATGGTCTGTTTAATAGACAACGTTATGAATTATCTACTTGAATATATATATCAAGCAAACATATTAAATCTTCGATTGCATAAAAGGAAAAACATTTTTTTTCCAAATTTATTTCAATGAAATATGAACCCAGTGTCATTTAACCGGATAAACAGTTGCTTTCATGGTGTGTGTGTGTTTTAACCTGCTTTTGCTCCTCCATGAGGAATCCTAATTGGCGTCTCATTGGGTGATTACGGTCAGGATGAGCAGACTAATGAACGTCTCCGGATGATCCACACCTCTCTTACGTCTACCAGCTGAACTACCTTTCCTCTTCTGCAGATGATTGTGTGTATAGTGAGTGTGAGAGTTTTGAGGAGCCCAAAGGTGACCCGCGTCGGGTCCGGGTGTGTTTGCGTTTCCCGTGGCAACAGGAAGCTGTGAGTTGGAGTAGCTGCTTTACTCCGATGATAGACGGCGTCCTGGTCTTTAGAATCTACATGAATATAAAGTGCAACGAAAGTCAAGAACAGAAGAAATATGGAACCTAAGATCTTGATCAATGGAATTGTTTCAGAAGTGGTGCTCTTGTATCTTTTTCTCATCAGGGGTGGTTCAGTCCCGGGCAGGTGTTCGTCCTGGACGAGTACTGCGCCCGCTATGGCGTGCGAGGCTGCCACCGCCACCTGAGCTACCTGAGGGACCTGATGGAGTACTCTGAGAGCAATGCGCTGGTGGACCCCACGCTGCTCCACTACAGCTACGCCTTCTGCGCCTCCCACGTGCACGGAAACAGGTAGGAGGAGCACAGCCCCCCCATCTTACATCTGGAAGTGGGAGGAAAGAGGGTGAATATTCTCAGAAATAGAGAAGAATAATCAATCAATAATCAGCTTGGCTGGACTCTTTTATTTAGCTAATTTGAAGATCATCAATGAGGACAATTAAAGTTCTTCAGCGATGACCTCGTGCTTCAAGTTCGGATAAATACTTGTGATGGAATTATTATATGCAATGTGCGTGTATATATATATATATAATAAATTATATATACATATATATATATATATATATATATGTATATGTAAATTATATTTTCGGTTTGCCTCAAACAGGAAGTGTGAATCTTGAACGTCCCTCCTAATGGAGGCATTTGTCCATAATGGGAACAAATTTGCGGTGAGAACGAGTGGTTGGGTCCTCCGCCCGGATATGAGCAGCAGCAGTGTCTTTTAGCCACTTGTTGGCGTCAGCTCGGCTCCAGCAGTTCAGTCCCCTCCCTCCCCCACCCCCCTCACCCACCCGCTTGACTCCCCGGCTGGTAATTACTGATATCTGTGCTGTGTCTCTTTGTCCACTCATTTAGTGAATTAGAAAGAGTGATGACTAGCGTCTCTAGCAAATCCCCAGTTATAAAATGGGGGGAGACGGGGGGGGGGGGGAAATTGGCTTTTTGTCAGTTGGAGCTCTAATTTGAATAATTGATGCCCATTCAGGGCTCCTGAGTGGGTGTGGACGGGAAAAGGAGCTTTTGGGATGGCTGGCAGGCTCCCAGGTGAAGAAAGAAAAAAAACGTAATTACAGAACTCAAGTTTCCCCCCGAGGGCCGCCGGAGAGTCCAAACTAGTGAGGCACGGAAGGGGGGGGGACAAAGGGAGGCGCCATGGAGCGATCAACAGGAGGGTACTTGAGGAATACTTCACGGCGCCGTGTACGGAAATGTGTCCGACTGTTCTTTTCTTCACAAAGCGCCCAGCGGTGACCGAGGGAGGGGTCGTGGACTTTCGACTTATTTGATCGTTTTCAGCATCTTTGTGAGGAAAAATAACTGTTGTGGTTCTTAATTCAAAAGCCATTCAGCAACACTTGTGCTCAAAATGCTTCAACATCTTTTTAGGCTCCTCCTTCTGCATCTGGTACCTTCATTCTGTCTCCGTAATGGCAGAACTGAAATTTTCTCTCCTGCTGTATTTAAGGCTTCTAGTTGTTGCTCATTTGTAAGAAAAACAAGACGAACCTGAAGAGTAGTTCTGTCGTCGATGCACCGAGCATCCTTGATGGAAGCACGTCCACGCGTCAGCCAGGAGAAGGCTGAGTGGTGCTGTAACCTTAGGCGCTAGCGGGGTTAGCTTAGCTTCGCTTCCACGCCGGCTCTCCTCCTGGGAAGGTGGGTTTTTGAGTCTACATAACAAACAAGAGAGACTAGTTTTAGAAAACAGATGAGACGTCCTATTTTGCTCCTTACCGGAGCAGAGTTCTCCTGACAACAAACCCCGCCTTCCATCACTGGTTAGTGAGCTGTCAATCAGCATGTAGCCCCGCCCTTAAGCATCCCCTCTTTATGGTCTGTTTAACTCTACATGGCCCATAATCTAATAAGTAAACATCATGGTCTATTGAAGACTTGAAACTAGAGACTTAGACCATAAACTCATGTTTACTGAGGGAATAAAGCGAGTAGTCATTTTCTGATAGACGTCTACGGGACCAGAGAAGTCGCCCCCTGCTGGTCACGAGAGGGGTGTGACTTTGTCCACAGGTGAGTTGAACTTGTTTATCTGTTACTCTTATGACCGGCTGCGTAGGGGGGTGGAATCACACCGTCTCAGTGTGACACTTCAGCTCGTGCCGGTCCGAGTGGGTCCGATGAGACGGGTGCGTTTGAACCCCGATCAGGGTTAAAGGAGCATTACAAGAGCCGGGGGGGTGGAGATGTCCGTTCGCCTCCCTCTCACCTGTCACGTCCGATCTCCTCCTCACCGAGCCATCCACGCCACTCGGACACAGGATGTGACGGGAGCTTTTACCGACCCCCGCCCAACCCTCTCGGGGAAAAGGAGGTGACACTCCATCACCCGCCATTCACCTGGATCTCTTCTCCACGGCTCTTGTCAACCGGCTCTGGGGGGGAGGGGGGGCGGCACATGTTACTTATGGTTTCACTGGAGCCTTTTGGACTGAAAACACACAAACGGGATTTTGCAGAGCCCCCCCCCCACCTCGTTGACAGCAGCCTCGCTTCCACCACGCTCGCTTCATTTAGCAGCACAAATGTTTCTGACCCCGACAAGCTGTCGCATGGAGGCCGCGTGAGGCCGAGCCCAAGGCTCACGTGCCCGCCGAGCGGGGGGGGGGGGGGGGGGAGGGTCCCCTATGGACTGTGTTTAAGCGTCTGGCTCCTTGCCAGCTCCTTCCTCATCCGATTTGTCCCCCGCTGAGGAAGTGGAGGGTGTGAGTGATATTTTGGGGGGGGCGTTCATGTATTGTTTAAAAGCTGCTGGATAATGATCAGAGATTAATAATCTACAGATAATGGATTTCTACACGTTTCGGTTTGCTTCTGCAGAAATGTGGCAGAATCTGACAAACTATTCTCAGCCATGGGGGATCAATATTGTGTCACTTGTGATTTAAAAAAAAGTTGGTGGATTACTGACCCATATTTTGGGGGGGGTCAAACTAACACGGACACCCATAAATATATCTCTCCATCCATCTCCTCATCCGTCTCTACATCAGAGTTTTACTTCATTTAATTTATGTGAAGTTGTTATTGTCATGTAATTTTAGTTGTAATTAACTGTTTACTAGATTTTACTTTCCACTTTATTTAATACAATTTTATTCCATTGTTATAAATGAACATCAAATAATGAAATGAAATAATTTTATTGAATTAAATTTGACATAAGTTACTATATTGGATTTAATATTGTTATTTAATTCATGTAAATTTATGGCATTCTACTTTCTATTTTATATATATATATAAATAATAGAAAGTGGAAAGAATGAATATATATAATATATATATATATATATATAAACATTACACATTAATAACAGACTGGTGAGGGTGGACTGCACTTGATTCTTCAATTAAAAGTCCTGTCTTTCTCCGCTCTATTTGTAATGCGAGAGGGTGAATTATTGAATATATATATAATTATATATATATATATATATATATATATATATATAATGATATATAATTTTATATATAATATATATATATATAATATATATATATATATATATATATATATATATATATATATATATATATATATATATGTGTGTATGTATTATCTGGATCAGTCAACCCACACGACACGTAAACGAGTTTCATTTACTTTATTAGTATTTTTTTTGGTTTTATGTGCTCTTACTCTACTTCCTCTTCCCGGTGAGATACGGCGAGTGTTTTCATAACCGTGATTGACAGGAGGTGTTACAGGTATCCCCTCTCGCCACGGAGCCCCTTCCTTCCTCCACATCTGTAAAGGTGCGACCCCGGCGCAGAGCGGGAGCACGCGGCGAGGATGTGGCAGCGCTCCGCCGGTCGGCTGGAGGCCGACGTAGCGAAGCTTTTCACGAGACAACCACTCATTACCAGGCAACCTCCTCCCGCCTCCCTCCAGCGCCTGCGAGTGCCGTTTGGAGAGGGTTGCTTTTCTCTTTCAGCCGCACAGACAAAAGCACAGGAAGTCAAGGCCGGCGCTCTGGGACTGATTGCATTTTTCCCTTCTTTTTTTTCTTGCCAGAGTGCCTATTCAGACGAAGGCAAGAAGGGAATGAAAGCTTTACAAACATTAATGAAGCGCTCAGCTAACAGTTTGTCCCTTTTTTTTCTTTGTTGACTCTCCTCCTGCCGGCGTGTAGTGGAGGAGGAGGAGGAGGAGGAGGGGGAGGAGGAAGGAGAACCCGTACGGCTCCCGGGGGGATTGGTTGACTTTGAGGTCAGCCTGGATAGTTTGGTGAAAACAAGCAAGTTGTCTGAGAGAGAAAGAAATGACAGCGGTTTGTTCCTTTTCTTACTCCTGGATCGTACGTTTAGCTGCTGCGAGGCTCGCGGTGGCGTTCGCTGTGAGGACGGCATCTGGAGTTCATGATTAAAGGCCTCGTCACATGCGGACAGTTTATCTACTTTTAGTGTTTTTAATCTGATTTTAGATTGAGTTTGATATTAACTGCCATCAACACTTCCGTGCGTTCAGTCCAGTAACAGAATGTCTTTGGAGAACATTTCCCCCCCCTCTTTAAGGAACATTTAACCTGTCTTAGGTCCCCTTTAGGGTAAAGATGCTGCTCCAGCTCCTGTGTGTGTTCAGGAGGTAGAAACGCGATGAGGCTCCTTCTCTCTTACTCAGCAGCTCCGCAGGGTTTATTCCAGAGAAGCTGGACGTGCGTTCTCACCTCGACGGGGGAAATGAAATGACCCAACCAGCTGTATTATTTAAAATTGACAAACATGTGAGTGTTGTTGAACAGGAAGGGGCGGGACTTCCACTCGCTGTAAGACATTAAGAAGCAGTCACTTTTTTGTTTTTATCTTTATGAGGCATTCTGTGAAAAAGTTGTGAAGCAGGCGTGTCATGGAGAGGTGGGGGGGGGGGCTGCTGGTCCCCAGCTGACTGCTATGGTTCTGTTCCTCAGGCCCGATGGGATGGGGACGGTGACCGCGGAGGAGAAGCAGGACTTTGAGGCCATCAGGGGACGCATCGTGTCTCTGCTGGAGAACCAGATCACACATTTCAGGTACCAAGACTTATCTGTAGACCTACAGATCTGTTTGTCATTTATACATTCATACGTACCGGTTAACATCTAGACAAATAGTTTAGAATCATACAGAATGTGAATAAGTGCATTCAAATAGTTGATGTATCCGTTCATGTTATGTTTGTAACATGCTGTGGTATGCTTGTGACTCATGCAGGTTGATACTGATGAGTTTGACCTCATACTATAATGGACTTCAGAGCGCACTAGACACACACCTAAGTGAATGGAAGTCAATGGCTGAAGGAGTCTGCAGCAACATGACACCCAAACCTCCAAAACACATTTTCTTCATGCTAACAAAAAATTGATAAAAACCGTCACCAGCATGCTCCTTGTTTTTGAACCACATCACAATGGACCCGAGGCATTCTGGGTATTCGCAGCAACAACAGGTGCGGGTCGTGCGTCTGACGAGTCCGCCGTGCGAGCGCTTTGTGAGGCGGCGTGAAAGAGACCATTAACCCTCCACGCCTGGGGGGGGGGGGGGGGGGGGGTCTCTCTCTTGGCCCCCGAAAAAAAAAAAAAGGGGGGG